GATAAACATGAAGAATAGCTAAAAAAAAAAAAAAAAAAATCTATGTTTGAACACCTTTATTGAAGAATCATCCCAGCAAGTTATAGTGCAACATATTTAATAGAATCCCATACAGTTTGAGGAATCCGTTTACGGGACAAATACATATTCATGCATAGACACACACACACACACACACACACACACACACACACACCACACCTATGTATATATATATGTACACACACAGAATGTGCTCAGAAAATTTATGGGAGTACACGTAAGAAAATGTATCTATTTAAAAAGATTTTATTTATTTGAGAGAGAGAGAGAGCCAGAGCACACAGTGGGGATCAGGGGGAGAAGGAAGGGAAAGGGAGAGAGAAGATCTCAAGCAGATTCCCCACGGACTGCAGAGTCTGATCTGGGCCTCAGTCCCACAACCCAGCGATCGTGACCCTAGCTGAAACTGAGAGTCAGACGCTTAACTGACTGAGCCACCCAGGCACCCCACATCTGAGAATATGTTAACCAGGATTGGCCCTGTCAAGTAGGGGAGGGTCCTGAGACCCACTTAAAACCTTTCACTGTTTCAATTTATCACAAAGCCAGTATTACTTTTACTTAATTTTGTTTTAATATAAAGAGAAAAAGTTGCTAGTTGATGCATCTATTTATAAAAACCAAAGGTGAGATGCACACTAGGGAGAGAGAATAAAACAAGATTATTTGCAGTACCTTGCGACTCTGGGTCTATAAAAATGCATTTATGAGAGACACAAAGTTTAAACCTCTGCAGTGACAACACATAATTTAAAAAATTCTCTGTGATATAATTGGAAACTGTGATGCCTTCAGAATGTGTAGGACTTTTTCTCTTTTTATAGGTATGTTTTGAGTAATCCATTAAAAAGTTCAGACAGTAAAAAAGTTGGCACTCCCACTGGGTTAGGTAAGGGTAGATTTTTTTCAAAGCAGGCATCTGTCATTCTTTCCCCTTTTATACCCCCACCTTCCATCCACTGGGATAGCAAATAATAATTCACTTATAATTTACCACTTAACCAGACGCTAGGCTATGAGTTTTACACAGTTGCTCATTTAATCTTTGACACACTCCTATTAAATAGGTATTATTATGCCTGTTCCTTTTTTTTTCTTTTTTTTTTTTTTTTTGAGAGGGAGAGGGAGAGAGAGAATCTTAAGCAGGCTCCGTTACACACAGTGCAGAGTCTGAGATGGGGCTCCATCCCACGACTCTGAGATTGTGACCTAAGTCAAAATCAAGAGTTGGACACTTAACCAACTGAGCCACCCAAGTGCCCTGGAAGATTTTACTTTCGCAAGAGGGTAGCTGCTAGATATCCCAGCCCACACACTCATCTTAGTATGGTCTTTGCCACTCCTCCATCAAGAGGTGGGATCTACATTCTCTATCCTCCAATCTGGGGGATGTGGAAAAGACACTGACATTTCTGACACAAGATCAGAGAAGGTAACACTGCTTCCATCTCCCACCTTGGAATGCTGATCCTCAGAACCCAACTGCCACCCTGGGAGGAAGGCCAAGCCACGAGGAAACGGTAGTGTTCTGGCTGACAGTCCAGGCCACAGTCCCAGTGGGTAGCCAGCATCAGTCGCCAGACATGTGAGTGAGAAAGTTTTTGTTTTTTTTTTTTATTGACGGGAGACAGGGAGAGAGGGAACACAAGCAGGGGGAGTGGGATAGGGAGAAGCAGGCTTCCCACTGAGCAGGGAGCCCGATGCGGGGCTCTATCCCAGGACCCTGAATTCATGACCTGAGCTAAAGGCAGACACTTAACCAACGGAGCCACCCAGGCACCCAAGAAACTTTTGGGAGGACTCCAGCCCAGCCAGAATCTGACTGCGAGTGTATGAGAGACTCCAAGTGAAGCTGCCTAATTGAGTTCAGGCTACCCACAGAACCATGAGAGAGATTAAGATGTTATTTTAAGCCACTACGTTGGGGGTGATTTGTTGGGAAATAATAACCAGAATAATTAAGAAAACCAGTTTAAGAAAGGTCAATATCCTGCAGGAGACTGCCATGTCTGCCTGGCTTTAAAGCCCATGCTCTCAACAGCTTCCCTGAGTCTCTCCCTCCTCCCTACAACTGCCTATGAGGCAAAACAAAAAGGAGAAGGGGATCAATGATCAATACATTCCTAAACACTTGGGCAATGTCTAGAAAATAAAGTAGAAGATACACCTAGAAAACCGTAAGATAAAGACCAGCATGATAACCTGATATTCCTGCCCCCAGTCTTTGACCCCAAGCTAGGAGTCCATTTTCCCCATTACTTGCTTCTTCTATTCATTCTATTTCCACAGCTCTGTCTCTGTGACCTCCTGTTCCAGAATATTTTCTCCACTGTTAAATATTTGCTAAACATTTAACTCATCAGGACTCACACCTGGGTGACAATAGGTTCCCCCCCCACCCCGCCAATTCTCGGACTGGATTTTAGGGTAGAAGGCAGAATAAAGATGTAACACTAAACCAACTAATTGAAAACTACCAAAAGGGCCATCTACCAAAAGAAAATATCAAATAATACCTACTAGATATATATATATATATATATATATATATATATAAAACAATACCCAAAGGTTTAAAGGATACAAATAAAATGTAAGTACTTATATAAAATATTTGTTTATAATATGTATTGTATTTTGTTATGGTATGCAGTGCAAACATTAGTGTTTAAAAGAGGGGATGGGGCCCCTGGCTGGCTCAGTCAGCACAGCACGGGATTCTTGATCTCGGGATTGTGAATTTGAGTCCTTCGTTGGGTGTGGAGATTACTTAAAAGGAAAAATCTTTAAAAAATAAACAAATAGGGGCACCTGGGTGGCTCAGTCATTAAGCGTTTGCCTTCGGCTCAGGTCATGATCCCAGGGTCCTGGGACTGAATCAAGTCCCACATGGGGCTCCCTACTCAGGGGAGAGTTTGCTTCTCCCTCTCCCACTCCCCCTGCTTGTATTCCCTCTCTCACTGTCTCTCTGTCAAATAAATAAATAAATTCTTTAAAAAAATAAACAAAAATAAAAGGGGGGGGGTAAATACACATTTACATATGTAAATATATAGATACACATTTATATATACAAACAAATAAACGTAAAAGAAATCGTAAGAGTGGTTGCCTCTAGGAAAGGAGCAGCAAAGGTTTTGAGGCAAAGGTGAATAAATGGAATGATCAAATGATCAAACCTAACTTAAACAAAACTGAGATATGCTGACATCAGGCTGACATTAGACTCTAGATGGAACACACTGATAGGCACCCAACACCCCCTCTGACATAGTCTTGGCCAACGTATTTAAGCTAATCATAAGGAAACAATCAGACAAATCCAAATCGAAAGATAGATGGCCTGAATTCTTTAAAAAAGTCAAGAAAGACACATAAGGCAGGACACTGTGCCAGATTAAAGGAGACCAAAGAGATATGACAACAAAATGCAATTTGTGATTTTTGATTGGATTCTGGAAAAATAAAAACACCTGTAATGGATATTACTGGGATAACTGGGAAAATCTGAAACATAGGCTGCATTTTGGATAACAATGCTATCCCAACACATTATTCGTACTATGATGATGCAGGAGAACGTCCTTGATCTTAGCAGATACTTGCTGAAAGCGGTGAAAGGCACTGGTGTCCACTACTAACTCTCAAAAATTAGGCGGAAGTAAATACTGTATGTGATTTAGAGAGCGCAAGTGAGCAAGCACACAAACAAAAGCCAAAATGTGCATCTAAGTGAAAAGTTTATAAACATTCAGTGAATCCTTCTTGCAACTTTCATGTAGATTCAAAAATTTTTTCAAAATAGGGGCGCCTGGGTGGCTCAGTGGTTAAAGCCTCTGCCTTCGGCTCAGGTCGTGATCTCAGGGTCGTGGGATCCAGCCCCACATCGAGCCCCACATCGGGCTCTCTGCTCAGCAGGGAGCCTGCCTCCTCCTCCTGTCTCTCTCTGCCTGCCTCTCTGCCTACTTGTGATCTGTCTGTCAAATTAAAAAAAAAAAATTCAAAATAAAGAGCCAGGAGGGAAAAAAGGAACACAATAATAAAAAAAAAAAAAGTGTATACAAATCCACACTACAAGTAAAAGTGTAAAGCCTTTTGTAGGCCTGTATTCTAACTACAGCTTTGGGTGCATTAGTGAAAAAGATAAACATGTAAACAATATCTACCAAAAGAAAATAAGAATGTCTTGTAAAGGGCGAATGAGATGAATTAACTATTTTAAATATCTTTGTTCCACAATTTATGCCACAATCAATCACCAACTGACACTCAGCATACAAGGCAAATTTTACATTGTAACTGTATCTAATAAAATTGAATCTTTCCACAGGGGAAAATAAAAGGCCCATTCTAGTCGGTTGCATTTGAATTGCCCAATAGTCCACAAATCCAAGTATAGGTAAATTTTATACCTGTCACACATTTTCTAGGACGACGATCTCCTTTCCCAACTTCCCAGCAACACTCACTTCACCAAAAGGTTGTCTCAAAATCCCTATAAAAATAGTTCCCAAAAAACACAGTGTTTTACTAGTTCCCATAAGAACGGCTTGATCCAAAAAACAAAACAGCCCAGCTTTCCTCTCAGCTGTTCCCTGAACCGACGTCAGGAAAAAGCAGGAAGTCGCACAAAAACAGCTCAATACCTCACTGCCGAATGTCCAAGAATCTCAGTTTCAATCCAGCGTTTTAAAACAACAACAACAACAACAACAAAACCCTCAAACTTGTAACATAACCTTGCACTAAAGTATGCGGGGGTGGGGGGCGAGGAGAGGGACTCGGGAGGACGCTGGAAACCCCAGCGCCCCCACATCCACCCCGAACCCCGTGGGCACCACCTTCGACCGCCCAGGGAGGCTGGGGGTCCCCACAGGCGGCGGCCCCCCAACCACGACCCTCCAAGTGGCCGCACAGGCGTGACGGGGCCCGGCCCCTCCAGTCCTGGCCCCGCTCACTCTTCATCCTGGATACGGAAGCCGACGACAAGCCCTTGCCGACACCAGACGGAGAAGAAAGGGCCGGAAAGGACGGCCCCCTGCTTCCACTCCTCTGAAGCAGGGTCCGGAACTAGGACCTCCGCGCTGGCCCCCGACAGAAGGCGTTAGGATACGGCCGCCATGTTGTATCCCTGTCACCCTAGCAACCGTCAGGTCCCGGACGCCTCGAGGCTGCCGCCCGCGCGTGCGCAAGACGCTACGGCCGCATCCGTCGGCCCTACGCGTACGCGTGCGCAGTGCGACTCGCCTCATCGGTCTGGTTGCTGAGCAACCTCCCCAGCTGCTTTTCGTGACAGCTCCCGGTCTTTGAGGAGTGCAGGCCACCCTCCGGAATCGCTATCCGCATCCTGCGTGCGAATTTAGCCATTTGAGACCTAATGCCAGAACGACAGTGGAGCTTTAACTAGGCTGGGGACGCACTAGGTAACTGTCAGTCGATACCCGCTCGTGTGCATGTCTTTGAGCACACGCGTGACTGTTTCTGTTGGAACCGATGGATTGTAAGACACCTACAATTTAACTACGGGCTTACGTGGAATCATTCTCCAAAAACTCTGTGCCAACACACAGAGGATCTACACATGAATTTCCTTGCCCCTAACACTTGCCTGGACGCAGGATATCTACTAAGATTCGGGGAAAGATCAAAACATGACAACGTGCAATTTTTAATTCCTTCATGCTTCTCAGTCCCTCTCTCTTGTTCCTCCTTGAGGACATATTCTCCTCTGGAAAACCGGAAGCTTTCTCCTCTGTAAGCCACTGCAAGTGAGACCTGAATGCTTCCAATGGTGGCCTCAGCCTTTCTTACTTGTCCCCTACTGTCCGGATCGCATCTTGGCCAGATGCGCACCTGCTCAGATGCGCTCTACCCTCAACACTTCCTTCCTCCCTGTCCCCACGAGACACCTCGTGCACACCCTGCACACCCCTCCACCTTTTTCTACCCACCTCACCTCTTGCTGGTCCCAGCCTCTTCCTTCCAGCCCCCGGGTGACCAAGTCTCCACAGTCGCCTGTCATTTACAGGATAAATCCCCATTTCTCACCCCATATACAATCTCCATCCACCGGAAATCTTCTGGCCCAACCCTTTGCCCATCCCATCCTCCTCTGACATCTTCCTGTCCAAAATCATTTTGGTTTAGAAAGCTATTTTTCCTTCCTCAAATAATGTTTTTAATATATTTAATGTACATTTAATTATTTTAATAACTATAAATTATGATTTTATAAATATATTACTTATTTAAATTATTGTATAAATAGATATTTAATGTTTTGACTATTATGTTTAATATATAATGATACGTAAAATACAATATGATGTATTATGTTATATTATTTTATAAATTTGGTGGCTATTCTGTGTCATGGTTGCACCATTCCCTATTTAATTGCTCCCCTACTGATGGATATCCAGGTTGTTTCTAATAGTTTGATCTTTCAAACATTGCTGCAGTGATCAACCCATACATTATTTCCTGTATGTCCAAGTGTACCTAGAAGAGAAATTCCTAAAGTGGAGTTTCCAAGTCGGAAGTATCTACTTTGACATTTTGGCTTCTTTTTGAAAATGGAGTCAAACTCATATAACATAAAATTAACCATTTTAAAGAGTGACATTTAGAACATTCACAGTGTTGTGCAACCATGACCTCTGTCTAGTTCCAAAATAGCTCCGTCACCCCAGAAGGAAGCCCTGTACCCATTAAGCAGTCTCAAAAACATGATGCTAAGGGAAAGAAGCCAGACACTAAAAGTCACATGTGTTTAAAATGATTCCATTTATTGGAAAAGTCGAGAATGGGCAAATCTGTAGAGTCAGCGAGTGGATTAGTGGCTGCCAGGGGCTACAAGGTGGGGAGAAAGAGGAGTGATGGTTCCTGAGGACAGGTTTTTTTGGTTTTTTTGGTGTTTTTTTTCTGGTGATGACATTGTTCTGGAATTAGATTACCCTGGTGGTTACACAACTTTGTAATTCTACCAATAATTACCGAATTGTACATATTAAATGGTTAAGAATAATATGTGAATTTTATCTCAAAATAAATTGGAAAAGAAAAAAAAAACAACGTTGCTGGTATTTTGTTGATGGTGCTATCTTTTTGGCTCTAAAGAGCCACATGTAATCCCTGCAGACCGCTGGGATTTGATCTCTCCCTTCTTACCTCCGTGTGGTCTTTCCTCTTATTTGGGGACTCTGTCACATTTCTCTTTCTCTTGTCTCTTTCACCTGTTTCTTCTACCCACTTGGGCTCTGAGCTCCCTGGGCGGCCCACGCGTCTTTCTGGCCCCCTGCCGCAGAGGGCGTGGCGGGACAGTCTCTGAGCACCTGCTAAACGCCTGAGTCGGTGAATGCCTTGGGCGGTGAGCCACAGCCCGTTGTTCCCGACCGCCTGGGCCGAGGAATTTCCTGCTCGTTTTCATTGTGGGCAAGTTCACTGTGGCTCTTGGGAGTGAAATTGTAAAAACCAGGTTGGCCACCATCCTGCAGGAGGGCAGCTCGAGCCCGCCGCGGGTAGTCGGGCAAGCAGGGGCTGCTGGGCGTCAGCGCTCGCCGGGTGGTCCAGCCGGTCCCCCTGGTGCGCAGCCTGCACCTCCGTACCTGGAGGCCCTGCGAGACAGGGAGGAAAAGGGCCTCCAGAAAGGAAGAGCAAAGGATACCTATGGGGGACCTTAGCAGGAGGTTTGCGAAGGCGGACTCGGGAACGATCTCGCCGAGAGCGCTGTTTCTTAAGCTTTCCCAGCACCCAGATCTCCTACCTTCAGGCGGCTGTGATTTGTGGACCCTCGAGTGCCACGCCCGACCCGCAGCGTTTCCGCGTCTGTAATTCTGGGGCGGGGCTCGAGAATTTGCGTCTCTAAGAGGATCGGAAGTGATGCTGCGGCGGTACCAGGGACCCTATTCTGAGAACCGCTGGTCTAGATAATTCCTTCCTCTTTAATTCTGAACAGACTAGGAAACGCTACTTCAAAGAGAAAAGGGACTCTCTCGCCCTCTACTCTGCCCCTCCTCCCTGCTTGCATGCGCCCTCTCTCCCTCTCTCTCTCAGATAAATCTTAAAAAAAAAAAAAAAGATTCTTGTGAATTGGAACCTCCAGCACCTTACAGCTCCGCTCCTGAAACTGCTCCAATACTACTTAATTACAGCCGCTCAGGCTTTCTGATTCATTTTAAACTGTTCCTCGGACAGTCCATCGGGATCCTCGCGTTAACTTTTCCCTCTTTTCCAATGTCAAGAGGTTCAGCCACAAGGCCATGGTTAGCAGATATGTGACCTGCTGCTGAGCCTCTGGAAATAGGAAGAAGTTAGGAAGAAAACTTAGAGATGACGAATTTCAAACGGGTTAACAGTGGGAAGGTGAGCACAGGCCAACCAACCTAAAGATAGTAGAAATTGCATTCATTTTAGAAGATAATAAACATGTCTCCAAGGACACTAAGCTCACAGAGGTATGAGATAACGAGGAGCGAGCAGAACATTAGCCATTCAAATTAACATGAAGCACCGTGGGTAACAAGCTCCGTAAATGCGATCATGGTGTACTGTGTAATGTGGGTGCAAAAATAGGTCAACTTAAAGGCGTTCAGAACAACAGATGTAAAGTTTAAGACAAGGTTTGTTAAAGGAGGATAGAAAGAATTAAAATTCAGCTGTTAAAGTGATAGAGAGACTCACACCAGGTGACGCTAGGCAAATCCCGGGAGCACTGTCTTCTCACTTCTGTGAAATGGGGCTAACAATACCCACTCCAAAGGGTGTTCATGCAGATGAAATCAGATGTCTGTGACACGCTATACAATACCACTTGATTTTTGCCCAGATGCTCAGTAAATGTTGTTGACTGATCAAGAGGCATCACGCATTGGCACCGGCTGTTAGTCACCTGCCAGGTGATTCGGGCCCATCCTCTCAGGAAATGAACCTTGAGTTCTGACAAGGGCGAGCCTGATTTTCAATGATTATTGAGCATGCAGGACAAACTTTAACCCTTGATAGGGAAGAATTAAGCAGGCGGACTGACAGGTTGTAGAGGCCATGTGGCCTGTTGTGGGAGACCCAGAGAGGCCTTTGCCAAGATCACCCACTTGCTATGGGCCGTCCTGGGCCCAGACCCAAATCGGCAGCTTCCAACTCCCTGTGCTTCTGCGGCTCACTTATATCTAAAAGAGACCTTTGAAAAAGCTTTACAATTAATGTGCATGCCTTAAGGAAGGAAACTTTTTATTTTTTTTTAAGATTTAATTTTTGAGTTATCGCCATACCCCACATGGGGTTCAAACTCACAACCTTGAGATCAAGAGTCACGTGCTCCACTAACCAAGCTATCCAGGTGCCCCTGGAAGGACACTTCTTAAAAGTCTCTGGAACCAACCGATTTGTTGTAGCAAATCAGAAGCAACATCTGAAAATCCTTCTGTTTGTCTATTTTTCTTTTGTGTTGTCTAACAGCTTTGACATTGTACATATTGTACAATGAAGCATTTTATTTTTGCGCCATCCCCTCACGTTTCTTTCCTTTTCTTTCCAGAATCAATTGACAAGAATTCAGCATCAACATTCAAAGTGTTTTGCTTTCTCCTTGTCTGTGGGCTCCAGGGTGCCAAGTCAAAACACAAAACGTAAAAAGAAGGTTGCAGGGTAGTTCAAGGAAATTGTTCAGGAAACAGACAGTAGACATAGGCCTGGACTGAAGAAAATGAGAGATTCACCCTCAAAGTTTGGATCTCGGAAGAATGGTGTTCCAGAAAAAGATAAAGAGGAGATTATCAAATCTCCCTCAGAAACATTCTTCCTCTGAAATATTGCCAGAATGGAAGGGCATGTTTCTGAGTTGGAAAGTCCAACAGTACGAATTTAATACACAGTGGATTTAACAGTCATTCAACAAGTACGTATCGAACACCTGCTCTGTGCCAGACACTGTTCCAGGAACTTGGGATCTGTGAATGTGGGGAAGGAGGCCACAAGTGGAGTGCAGCATCCACGGGCAAGGGAATGCCAA